TACCTGGGCTTATCGTGCGAGAATGGAAGTGACTAAAGAATCTATGAGATTAAGTGAAACATTATGGGGTAATCCTTACAGAGTCCTCCTATAATTGCACAATGTATACAAGTTATATATAACTTAAGACTAAATAGACCTTCGAATAAGTGATCCTACTCCAAAACCAGAACCAAACAAGGAACAGGTAGTGAAGCGTAGATCACAAATTCTAAGTCTATAAATTCTCAATTATATATAACCTTCGAAGTATACATTGTAAGATTATAGACCTATCCGTAAGGTTCTTTTAAGTTATCACATAAGTTATTTATGTGGTACCTAAAATACTCCTATAGTATTTTAATGTAATCTACTTGGTATGTTTTAAACTTGTTATCGCGTTTTAGTATCATAGAATACTCCTATAGTATTCTAACTCTAATGTACTTGATCTAGTATTCTCTTGACTTAGTATTAGGTAAGTTTTAAGACCGTTGCAATACAACATCACTCCCAAACACATGTCGGTCACATCTCGAATGAATATAGTTGATCAGGCTATATTGATCCTAGCTATGATTACATAACTGTCCAGGTTTGACCATAGTGTTCATCCTTTAACTTCTTATGTTCTGTTCTTCTTGTGATACTTGTTCTAGTGTGTATATATGTATAAGCAAGTATGTATACTTTTATAAGGTATCATTATATATTTAAAATATATTCTTATCCAGAGCACTTCGGCCCCATTGTATTTATAGTTGTATATCTTTTATCGGTTGATATACTTAGTTCACTATAAACAATGCTCTGATACCAATATGTCACACCCCAAAATCGGAACGGAAAAAACGTTCTGGGGCGGAGGACGTCATGTTTAGTATCACAAGTCATGCATCATAGTAAGCAAAGTAATAAACAACTATTTCATTTAGAAAGAAAGTGTTTACAAAGTATGATTCATATAATATATAATACATAGCAAATAAGAAAACACATGAAGCTATACTGCTCCATCTTCTGAATCCCAGTGTGCGAACCTGTCTACTGGTCTCCTGAGAATACAAGTTATTTTGAAAGTGTAGATCAACATTTAAGCTGGTTAGTTCATAAGATTTCAGTAATGTAGTAAGTAATAAGAAAGTTTGTAGAAATTTGTAGTAAGTTGTAGTAAGTTCTTGTTTAGAAAAGTTTGCCTGTCCCTCCATAAAATCCTATATTTCTTGCTTTGATGAAAGAAAAATAAAAATGACTCTATAGTCCTTTCTATGAGTATTAAATGGATACAAGTTATATAAAACTCAGAGTAAACAAACAATCGGTTATGTGTATCTTCCCTAAGCCCACAACCAAACAGTCCTTTCTCAGATTATTAAATGGATAGGGTGTCTCTCTGATGTATTGTATCAACCTCGTTGTTTCTCTTTATGTTATCGTGTATTGTATCTACCTCCCTGTTTCTTTTTATGTTATCGTGTATTGTATCTACCTCCCTGTTTCTCTTTATGTTATCTAGTATGAACTGAAACTCTAAACTATACCCCTTGTAGTTTACTAGTGTTTTACTTGAATTGTTATTGAAAAGACTCATTTTACTACTATGTTATGCTTGTACTTTAAAAATGGAGTTTTGTTAAACTATAAAGTAACATAACTTTAAAAGAGTTTTTGAAATGTTTTGACTACTTATAAATGACATAAGTAATCTTTTGAAAATGTTTATAACAAACAATTACACAATTATCATTGTGTTCAACTTGTATTCCCCCCCCCCTTAAAAGAATTTAAAACGGTTTAAAAGATTGATTTACACGGTATGAACTCACCCTGTGTAGGTGATTCAAACGAATATGTGCATAAGGATGAGAAGTTCCACGAATGAAGTCCCGAAACTTAACGAGTCCTAAATGACATATAATGACATATATTGACATAAATATAGGGTTTAGAAGCAACCAAATGCAATAAAACACCTTACGGGACTAGGAAACACTTTGCCCAAGTATTAGAATCACATGTGATTCACTTAAAGGGAGTGTACGGCCATAATGATGGGTGTGCGGCCAGGGAGTGTACGTCCGCATACTCATGGTAGAGAGCGCGCAAAACCGTTATCCAAAGGTGGGGAGGTTTGTGGGACAATTGCTCAACAAGTGGTGAAGCTAGAAACACATTTTGTAGGCCATTTTGGGGTCTTTTAAAGGGTGTACGGCCATACTTGGGTGTGCGGCCGCACACACCATACCAATATGAGTTCTGGGCAGTTCTAAGGACTTAAACAAGTGTTCTTAACAAGATCTAAGCTTAACAAAAGGGTACTTACGATCTGGAAGCTCGAGAAAGTCCAAAATCACCAAGAACAAGTGTGTGTTCTTGGTGTTCTTGGTGTAACTTGAAGATCTAGACAAAACATGATTTCAAATGGATGAAATCAAAGGATGTAACTAGTTTAAGAAGATTAACAACAAATCGGGAGAAGAACACTTACCAACTCGAAGATCTAAGCTTACAATCGGATGGTAGTTGAGAGCAAAATCGCGTTTTTGACTTACGAGGGTGAAAAGGGATGAAAGGAGGCTGAGTCTTCCCTTTGTACACATGAGTGTGCTGCCAGGAGAGGGGTGTGCGGCCGCACACCCAGTGTACGGTCGTACACTCCTGATGCTGGAGTGTAAGGCTCGATTTTGGTGCCAAAATTTGTACGCGATCCATTCCTATACTCGAGGCTTGAATGTACTGAGCTTTCAACACTACTAGAAAAACAGCCTTTTACGACGCGCAATGCGTGTCGTAAAACGCTCAGACGACGCACAAATGCGTGTCAAGAAAGGCCATGTCATAACGAGAGACGACGCGCTTTTGCGCGTCATCTATTTACGACGCGCATTTACGACACACATTTACGACGCTCATTTATGACACGCAATGCGTATCAACGACGGCCCTGTCATAAAAGAAGACGACACTCATTTGTGTGTCGTAACCTTAAGACGTGCATTTAGGACACACATTGCGAATCATTAAAGCCCCTGTCAAGAAAGGCCATGTCATAAATGTTTAAAAAAAATGTTTTTTTTATAGATTTAACAATTTTCGAATTAAATTTGTATTTAATGTCTCATAATAGAAAATAAAATTTCATATACAAAAAATACAATCAATTGCATAAATTTTAATGTCATACAAATAATCGTTCCATGGAAAGATAAAACAAATCAATAGGAGTTGTAACAAAAATTTACAAACTAATTAGATACAAAAAATACAATCCATTGCCCCTTTGCTTATTCAAGATCAACCTGCAAGTAGCTAACTAATCTTTACAAATTCACCCTCATTTCTAATCATTTTCTTAAGTACTTTACAAACAAAATTCATCCATAGTACCTGAACTATAGTTGCAGCCTTGTTTCTTCTTCTTCTTCTTCTGAACTCATCTCTTGCAACCATTACTCTAAGCTTAGTCTGAATAGATACAACAACTCCTTGTCAATTATGTGAAAAAGACAACCGAAGTGGCATACCTTCATAATAGCAACGACATACCTTCATAATAGCAACAATAAATTACTAGTTTGCCCATCCATCCAGAACGACTACACAAAACAATACACATGTTTCAGAAGGCAACATAGGGGTATTTTGGTCTTTTTTAACAAGGTAATGATATTGAATTGATACCAGTGTTGAAGGTTTATCTAGACCAACATTAAGAGCTGGAAAATACATCCCTTCACCAGATTCCACCTCAGCATTTGAAACCTAAACAATTGAGAAATTTAGATATTTACGAACATAAATAAAAATAAAAAATAAAAATTAAAAATACAAGCAATTTACATGAGATGAAGATTGATGTCGATTATGCCATTCAGACCACTTCTGTAATAACTCCTCAAGCTTCTGTTTACTCTCTCTCTCTCTCTCTCTCTCTCTCTCTCTCTCTCTCTCTCTCTCTCTCTCTCTCTCTCTCTGATACAAACATGTTATACACTTAAAACTTTATACAAGAATATCTTAAACCAATGTATATAAAAATGTATCCTGTTTAAATAATTTGAGAATATAAACATGTAATTATGAAGCATTAAACAATATTGTGTTTTTCCTTTATACCTTGTTAAAGAATTATATATGACATGAATTGAAGCTTGCTACTCATCAACAGTTATACGAGGTATCTTAATCGCTACCATGTCAATGGAAAAACATATATTATAGTAACAAGCTAAGATATAATTATATTTAACTAAGTAGAAATAAACTTATAAATATATATTAAAAAAAAGGAAATTACTGTATCTAATTATGGATTACTAATTCTACAAGGAAATTGATGTATCACACTATATATCTTCTGAGGTGATCAATTCTAGCCCTGTCCAAGCGTCTCAACAAGCACAGACCTTATCTTTCAAGTGCGATCTTGTCCTTTTGCAAATAAATAAATAAATAAATAAATACCTATTGTGAAAATGTGAGGCAGAGTAGAAAGAATATGATGAATGTAGTTATGCTTCCCACAGCCACCATTATAACAATTCATGGTGTGAAGGGAATTGACATTGATCTGATGGAAGACAGAGTCCATGATAAGATTCAACCAAAGAAGCTGAATTGAACATTAAGAAATTATTATACAATTATTAATACAAATTAAGTTGCCATTATTCGACAATACTTTTGACTTGATATTTTGGCATGAGAGAGAGAGAGAGAGACCTGGACTGCATTAAGGGGGACAATACAAACTGAATGAATTTATGTATGTTTGCATACACAGATCTTCCCTACCGTACAACCTGTTATAATTAAATTAATTCACGCATTAATTAATCATTGGAATACAATTAATTTTTTATAACTAAGAGCATTATTATTATTATTATTATTATATAATATAAGACAGTACCTTTACGACTGAAGCAAAATCATCATCCAAGATAATGATGTCACTGCTTTCTTTTGCAACTTCAGTTCCTTGGATGCCCATAACAACACCAATATCCGCCTACAGTTTCAATTTCAAAATAAAAAACATATAAATAAAATACAGTTAAAATAATTAAATTGATCATAAAAAATTCTTTAATTATTACCTCATCCAAGATAATGAAGACAACTCCCTTATGCTTAACGTCAAAAAGAAGAAAAATCTACACACATATACATATATGAAATTTTTTAAACCTTAATGTCATATGAAAATTAATTTCACTTATATTTGGTTCATCTGTTTAGTGAAATTATTTGCATAAATCACTCAATTTCGTAAATTGGCCCATGGAACTGAAAATAAATTGGAGGAACAACAACAACATACATACCCTATTTGCAAACAGATTCTTTTTCCTTTTGTTCTTGAACAAAGCTAGTAGAAATTCTTCCTGCATATATAATAGTTAGTGAACATAATTAAACATGTGATATTGAGATACATATTTAATTATTTATCTACATAATTATGATTCTTAAATAGAAATTCTGACATAAACTACCTTGCTAAAGAAAAGAAAAAGCAAGACTCCACCGTGGAATAGCAACAGCCCATTCAACAACAAGGATGATGCAGGATTACAAGCATCGCGAGGATTTACTGTTGTATCAAAAAATGGAATTAAATTTATATTTTTATTTATTTCAATGTTCATATAATGAGGAATTAAAAAATGTTATTTATATAAACAAATTTTTTGTTTATTGTGAATATATATATATATATATATATATATATATATATATATATATATATATATATATATATATATATATATATCAGAATTTTTGTTTTTATTTATTTTAATATTATATAACAAGGGTATTTTAGTCTTTTTAACGAAAAATAAATAAAAAACGGAATTAAATTCCTTCCACCCTCCAAATGAAATCCAGCAAACATAGTAATTGTAGGACTCCAGCGGAATTGAATTGCCTCTATTTAGCAACCAAACATGGCATGGAATGGAATCTCATATTCCAATTCCATCAATGCCCTTAGTTTTTAATTAAAGAGCAATTTATTACCTTGGCAATGTCAAGTTTACCAAGCTGAATAGCCAATTCAAATCTATAATCAGGGTCTGTAGCAACTTCCAAGGCCTCTTCAGCCTTGCCCCGGGACTCCAGAAAATGAGCAACACTATTGAAGAAAACAACCAGAATTCGTTTATAAAAAAATATAATATATATTTAAGATACAAATTTTGGTAATAACAATATAATATTTGAAACTCTACCTATTATAATGCTCCTTTGGGATTAAGGGTAAAACTCCATTAGCTCGTTCTATGTCTCCACGCATCACAAGTGTCTTGTACTCGATTAACGTGAAAAGCAAAATGTAACCAATGAGACTAAAACATAAAAATTAAAGACAAAAAATTAGCATAAATGTTGATGATAATTGTTTATTTAAAGATTATTATACCCACTCACTTGAATTCTTTGTCAATGAGATAAACCCTGCTCTGGTTAGCAAGATACCCAAGAAGATACATAGGTTGATCCAAATGGAACATTGTGTTAACCTGAAACAAATGTCACATTAAATATTATCAAAAATCATCTCACCCTTCACACCAGTCACAATATCAAACCCAAACAAAAAACAAAACCAATTAGTCATCCAGATCAGGATAATTAATATTTATATTTATATAGTTTGATATAATGGCATCAAAAAGTTACAGGGGTGGAATACTATTAAAACCAGAAGACATACCAGTAGAATTAATGTATCATGAAGTGGACATACATGATGATCACTAATAATTTTCATACCATGAAACAAAGCCTTCATCAACGACTCCAAAAACAGGGTCACTCATAGAACCCAGATGCTGACAAACGGATGAGTGATAGACATCATCCTCAGACGCTGAACTTTCAACACACTTGTATAAAATTGATTTCTTTCACAGATAAGGTCATTCATTTTCAAAAGACCCTCTCTCTATATTCAAGACCTTATTAAAAAAGCAAGGTTTTAACCAATGCTGGATTATATAGCTCTACTTGGGTGACCTATGTTGGAATAATCCAGAAGTTTAGAAGAATTTATCTAGTTTATTTTTTGAATTTTTAGTCATTATCCTTTCTTCCTGCATTTTAGAGATAAACCCATCTAGTTAGTTTGTTTTGTTTCTTTCAAGTATAAGTAGGAACATTATTTATGATGTTACAGTGAGTTTTTTCAGTTCAATAAAAATCCCAGCAGAAAGTTGGACAAAAATAACCCTCAATTGCTTCTTCTTGTTCTCTGTTCCCATGTTCTTACTTCTTGTTGTTAGAATTAAGCAGCCACCTTCCCTCTACCATGTTCAGATGCAACCACATCACTCAGTGGAGGCCATGAATCAAATTTTGATCTGAAAGAAACTGTCTCAAAATTCTCAATCATTCGAATGATATTGGATTTTGGTCTTTCATGAACACGTAAATGTTCCTGTAAATCAATACGTTATTTATTATAATAAGAAGCTTGGAAATTTATATTTATATTTATATAGTTTGATATAATGTTTACTTCTGCAGCTCCATTTGCAGCTTTTCTTTCTTCAAGAGTAGTACTTCTTCAACCCACACATAAATTTCTGTTCCACAATCTAGAAGATAACAATGGTGTGTGTCTAGTAACTTCTTTGTCAATGAATCAGCAGCTACAGGTATTGCTTTCCCCTTTATGATACTTAAAACAAGAAAAAAAAATAGAATTTTGTTAATTGTTGAATCAAGAGATAGAATAGTAATAGAATAATATAAGAAAATATTACCAAAGTAGCTGAGTTGGATAAGCATGAGTACTTTGAGCATCATTTGTAGTTGTTTTCTTTGGAAGTGGAGCAAATCCACCAAAGAAACCCCAGAATTCTCCAGCTTCAACATCAGCCATTAATCTCCCATCATCTATTTAAATCAAACATATACAAGTAGAAATGAGATTGCAAGGGCTTTTCTGTAATTTTCCATTTTTATAACATAATATGCACAAAATCACATACCAATGGTAGCTATGTCACACTTGTTACTATGGTAAGTGGTTTTGATATAAGTAGCATTTTTTATGAATGCATCTGGTGGAGCAATCTTCAATTGGAAAATTGTTTCAATCGCTAGCGATCTTGAATTGCGTGTTTGGGAACTAATCTGGAAATAATGTTTCAAGTGATGCACCCTGCAATTAGTGAGTAGCGTTTCATCTTCCTCGGCAAGCCATGGTGGCTTGTAGAATTGACAAACTACAATACCAATAATTAGGAAACACAAAAAAAATTACTGAACGAGAAAATTACAGAACCGGAAATTGACAAAACCCTAACCCTTTGATTTCAATTTTTTGGCCCTGTGACCGGACGAAAATCATCGATTGACTAGCAAGAGATCCTCGTAGGCGCCATGGAGCTCTCGACAGACAACGTCGATGTCATCCTTGTTAATTAGCTTCTGCATCGCGATTGACTTGCAAGCGAACTGTTGGTGCGTGGTTTTATGAGTGACAAAATGCGTCACACCAAATTGACTTACGCGAACATCATCCATTGGTCTCCTGAGGATGGGGTTGGAGAGCTGCAAACGGTGATGGTGGATGAAGTGTTGGTCGATAAGGCCCGTACATCGTCGTCGGGCGAGGCCTGACGATTCAGTGTGGGTTGCAAGTAGTGTTGGTCGAAGAGGATTTTTAGAACTTCAAAAATATGAAATTATCGATCTTCTACAAACCAAGTAGCAATTCAGAAAAATCGCATATCGAAGTCAAAAATATGATTTCAGGAACTTCACAACTAAAAATCACATATCAGGAACCCACACAATGATTTTAGGATTTCTTTTGATCGAAGAGGATTTCACAACATATGAAGAAGAAGGAGGAGAGTATCAGGCGAGGTTTTCAATTTTTTTGTATTTGATTCCCCCCTTGGCAATTAAAAAATTGAAGAACGTGCGTTGATGAAAAAAAATTATAAAACGACAGTTCTACACGACGCACTTTTTATGGTAGCTGTCCTCCGTGTTTTTAATTTTTTTTGTTGCACACTAGTTTTAGGGCACACATAAATGCGTGTCCTCTATGCTTAAAATTTTGGAAAATTGACATCAATTTTTAGGGCACGCACAAATGTGTGTCCTCTATCAGCGCGCGTCATTGATTGCGCGTCGTAAAAGGATGTTTTTCTAGTAGTGCAACCTTTAAACGGACTCTAAATGAGGCTAAATGATTGCAGAAATGAGTCTGACACTCAGCTGAGCTGACTGGCAGAGCTTTACAAGGCAAAAGCTTTAAAAAAATTTCAGGTTGTCACAAGTCGGTTAGGGTTTTCCCCAATTTCTGAGCATTGAAGAACTCGATGAGTTGCTCTAGCGACTAGGCGAGTTGTCTTGAACTGTTCCCGATTTTCTGAGATATGAAGGAACTCGACGAGTTGGGTCAACATGGACTGTTGACAGTTGACTGTTGACCGTTGACTTTGACTTTTACCATGGTTGACCAAACTTGACTTCTGAGGGTATTTTGGTAATTTGAGATTTTGATCGAATTGGTTAAATGATGGTTGCAGGCAGTTGAGTTTGGCGGTAAGAGTTGGGTTTGATTTTTACCAGTTCAGCACTATTAGTGAGGTGAGTTTTCCTCACTATACTCAAGGGTATAAGGCACCAAGGTCGGCCCTATGGATTGTTATCTTAGTTTATATTATGATTAAGTGTTGTCATGATCTTTTAGATCGGTATCCTGGTAGATAGGATGATGCTATGCTTAGTGATCTGCTAGATATGTTCGACTATCTGTAGACTGATATGTGTTTATCTGATATATGTGCACATGTTTGATTGGTAGTTGAGGGTATTCCATCCTGAGGATGATTGGACCCATAGTATGTTGTATTTGTAGTCTGTTATAGGATTATCAGATATAGGTGCACATGTTTGATTGATGGTTAAGGGTATTCCATCCCGAGGATATATGGACCCATAGTTGTGGCATTCCAACCCGATGGTTGAGGGTCGAGGGTATTCCATCCCAAGGATGATTGGACCCATAGTTGTTGCATTCCAACCCGATGGTTGAGGGCCGATGGTATTCCATCCCGAGGATGATTGGACCCATAGTAGGTGGCATTCCAAACCGATGGTTGAGAGCCTAGGGTGTTCTAAGCCGAAGGTTGACTGGACCCATAGTATGTTGCAATTCCAACCCGATGGTTGAGCGTCGAGTGTATTCCATCCCGAGGATGATTGGACCCATAATATGTTGGCATTCCAACTCGATGGTTGAGGGCCTAGGGCATTCCAACCCGATGGTTGATTGGGCCCATAACTATGTTGTTATTATATGTATGTTGTTGTGTATGGGTATTTTGGGGGAAACTCACTAAGCTTCGGGCTTACAGTTGTGTATTTTGGTTAAGGTACTTCGGATGATCGCGGGAAGGAGAAGGCTTCATTGTGCACCTCCTCAGATTTCATGATTTTGATTTCTGGGAAACTCTGATATTTGATTATTTTGAAAACAATTAGTGAACAGTGATGATTTGGATTTTTTTGCAAACAATTAATGAATCTGGGTTAGTTTTAAAAAGTTCAAATTTTTCATGAATTTTATGGATGTTACAAGTGTTGGATTAGGTGTCGAAGCCCATAACTATAATTGGTATGTACTTGACCCGATAGTAGCATGGTCCTTTTGGGTTGCCTTCACCAGAGCAATTTGATGGGATGGATTTTTGAGAAAGTGGTTATTTGTGATTTATTAATATATTATATGAATAATATATTAATTTAGAAATCATATTATTTCATTGGTATTGGTCAAGAATTAATGTGGTATTAATTTAGTGATCAAAAGAGACTGATTAAATTAATAAGGACTAGTTAAGTAAATCAATAATATTTATAGTTTGGGCTAATGGTCCATGTTGATTAGGGATGGACTAAATCTTTGTGAGAGTCCATGAAGAGTTAGTCCAAAAGGCTAATGAGTTATTGGATTAAAGGCCCAAGTGAATTAGGGTTTACAAGTTGAAAGCCTAGGAATTCCACACTGTAAATGTAACCCCTAACACCCTAAAATTGGCACTTGTGTTCCAAGGTGAAACCCTAGCCATTTTTGGTGACATCCTAGCCTCTCTCTCATAATCCTCCATTTGCTCTTGGTGTTTGTTACTTATTATAGGCATCATATTTGAGGTGCTAAGCTCTTGAAAGGCCAAGAACTACAAGCTACAACTAAGAGGTATTCATGTAACTAGTTTTTTATGTTATATATCTCCAATTGCATGCTAGCTAGGGTATATGCTTTGGATAAAAATGAAAATGCAAGTATAACTTGAGAAAACTAAGATCTAAAGCATTAGAGTTGTATGTGCACCATAGGAGTGTCATAGTACTAAAAACTCATTAGTGGTATCAAGGTCATGGCTGTTTTCTGTTATATAGATGCATTGGTTAATTGTTCAAAGTTGAAGAAATATGAATTCTGCTGTCTGACTGGTGGACTCGACGAGTCCTATGATGGGACTCGACGAGTTGAGCATCATTCAAGCCAACTCGACGAGTCCAGTATCCGACTCGACGAGTTGGATCATCAGTTGGCAGTTTTTTCGGGATTTTTTGGCCAGAATTGGATTAGGATCATTATTACAAACTGTTTTGACTGATAAAAATCATTATTTATGATAAGGTAATGAGTATCCTCATCCAATTGAATGATGATTGCCAAATTTTAAGATAATTACTTGCTTTTGTGAAAAATTAATTATTTGTAGAATTTGATTTGAATCGTCTTGCTATATGAAATTAGATTAGATCAATTTTGTGTTATAGATAAATCATATGATGAATTTATTTGTTTTCAATTGATCCAAGAGGTCTTGAAAAGTTTCAAAATTTGCCCTCAAGTTTTGGAATTTGAAAAGCCTTAATTATGAAATATTAAATACTAAAACCCTAGTATTTTAATAAATCTTTTTGGTTTCATAACATAAATTTAGAATTAAAAGGTTTCAATTATGGCATTGTTGATAATCAATTAAAATATTAATTAAAAGAGTATTAATAAATCCATAATAGAAAGGTTTAATGTTTAATTGAATTAAAAGTCTAGTTTATTTAAAAGATTAAACCTCCTAGTATTTTAAAGGTTTAAAATACACCCTTATACTATATAAAATTAAAAGTCTAATATATTATATATGTATAAGTTAAAAGTCAGTCTTACCGTTAGTAGGCCTAATTCACGAAGTTGGTCTATAATGGTGTTTAAGGAAGCGTCCTGTAAAATGACAGCCATTGGGTATACATTCTTACCCACCGCACTCTTGACTAATGGAGGGTCGTTAGCTGAACGCGTAGGATAGGACATTATCATTAAATTTATAATGAAAATACAAGTAACTAAACCTTTTATAAAATTCCCAAATCTTAGTTACTTTAGGAAAAATGTGAATTTGATGCTAACCCATGAAATTGCACATTGCACCTTATTGGTCGTTAGTGGAGCGTGTGTTGTTAACCGGCACACTAATATGGGACTAATGTAGGATGGCAATGGGTATCTCGGAGATTATCATATATCAATGGAGCGTGTGTGGTTAACCGGCACATTGATTAGCTGATAAATGTCTTCGAGAGTACCAACCTAATTTGCATGGTTATTCACACTTTGTTTGTGATCCACGGTATCCCAGTCACAAACTTGAACGGCATAATCAAGATTAAACATGCCATTGAAAAGTTCAATGAATCTCAAAAGATCTAGAAGTTTCATTTAAAAAAAACTAATCCGTTTAAGATTTCGTTTTCGTGGTGGAATTGGTAAATCGTGAAGGGTCCAATGCCTTAATATTTCATTTGGGTGTTGTATTAAGGATTGAATCAACTAACTTGAATTTCTCGCTTTTGAAGATGTCTAGTTCTGACAACTATGGTCTTCCCGAATCCTTTCCATTCGAAGTTGATATTCCACATGACGATCGAGATTAAAGATCAATCCCTTCTTCGTCCTTTCGTGGAACTTCACCTCCTCCACCTCCACCAATAGCTCTCCCTGACCCATGTGTTCGAAGACTTGAAAAGTTCAAGGTCACTCAATCCCTATTGGCAAGCAAACACAAAGATGGAAAGTCTGTATGTTCTCACGTCTTGGAGATGAAGTTGCATATTGACATGTTGGAAATGTTGGGTATCGAAGTCTCGAGGAAGCTGGATGTTGACTTGGTCCTTCAATCACTTCCTGAGTCATATAGCGGGTTCATTAAAGGACTACTATATGACAAACCATGACGTGACCCTCATTTATCTAACCTATTTGCTTATTGCTGCTAAATTAGCAATGATTTGGCGCACTGGTCAAGTAAATTTGATTGGAAGATCTACTTCCCAAACTTCCATGGACATTGACCAGATGGTCAAGAGAAAGGATAAATCTGAGATAGTCACATGTACCATTCTGAAAGAGTTTGTTTGTTTCTACTGCCAAGAGAAGGGGCATTGGATGCGAAGCTGCCACATCTACCTGAAGGAATGCAAGGATGGTAAAGTCAAAA